TTAACAACACCAACAACCAAAACTATTACACAAACTCAATTCGAAACATAGTAGGAAAATACAAAACGGACAAACTGACACTGCTTTGGATCCCCGGACACTGCGGGATAAAAGGAAATGATATTTCAAACAAAACAGCTAAAAACGCACACAACTTCCCTCTTATCACCGAACGCAACTACAACAAATCAGATATAAATGAATGCATCAAATATAACTCACAAATACTAAACGAAAGCACATTAAGAAAAACATCACCGTACTATAAATGAATTAGGCACACAAGAGCTTATCCTGAAATATTCAATAACTCCTTACGTACACCTTTAAGAAATTTAGCATAATCAGACTCGGACACACCAATTTAACCCACAACTATATCTTCCATAAATCCTCAATAAATAATAATAATAAACATAGATCGTAAATAACTGTTAAACGATTCGTGCGGTAAGTGTTGTTCACTCAGACTTTGAGCAAAAAGTCTAAGAGCAACCGATTGACTTGCTCGAATACAAATTTTGCTCGTGCTGAACCGAAGAACAATCATTTCTGTTCTTTTTCGGTCTACTCATGGTACAACTATACAAGGTAGTCTCGTCGGCTCGTCACTCCCCTATCGACACTACAATTAGAGCGAGAGAAAGAGTGTTTTCCTATGAAAACCCGAGCGTTCGGGTCGATAGGGGAGTGAACCCGAACAATTCTGCAGCCGACGAGACTACCTTGTATAATTGTACCTTCCCTGCAGTTCCAAAAGTGCCTTGTCGTCGATGACATGGACGACGACCCACCGATGCCAGTGTCTGTAGCACCTGGTGTCGCACTGATGTCACTTCATATAAAGTTTTGTATGGCATTCTAGGATTTGACATGCATGTCGCTCTCGATTACCATTTTGTCCGAGTCATCGAACGAGGCATCGATGGCTTATACGAATTTTATATGGAGAAAATTCGTATAAGACATCGATGATATCGTAGATGGCGTGGAGGCGATGTTGTCATCGATGGCTTTTGCGAGGGTACCCTCATCTATGCCAATGTCTAAAATGTCATCCCCAAATTCATATGAAAAACAATATATATATATTAATTTTTTTTTATTTTATTAATAAATCTTATTTTGTAACATAAGAGATAAGTACATAAATAATATGAAATTAGAAAGTTTTTGTTTACCATTTATGTGGAATATTTACAGGACAACGGCTGTTTTGCGTCCATCTATGGTACAAAAAATATTTTTATTATTACATATTATATATGTATTACTTTTTTTAATTTAAAGCAAACTTACCTTTCAAACGAATTTATCGTACAGCCTGTATATTCTAAAAGATTTAAATAAGTTTGTAGTAAAAAACATAATATTTTTGTAATCTTAACGACACTTACATGATTTTTAAACGATTCCGCTGCGCGTTGCGCAAATTAAGTAATTTCACAACTAATTGTCAACGCACAACGCAAAAGAATGAGCAGTTCAATTTTATTTTTCACCCTTTTAGTATACCCTTCTTTTTTGGGTATAACCGACCATAAATGACACGCGAGTTATATTATATCTATATTTGCAATCAATGTTGTGTTATGCTTATCTTGGTTTAATAATTTATATAATGTTGAAAATATAAAAAATATAATATATATTATATTTAATATTTGAAGAACTTTAACATCAAAAGAGTATACATAAGTCGAGCGCCCCTCAGCCGTATTTTCCATTGGTAACCAATTTTTTGTTTCTAACGGAGAATGACAACAGTGCAATTAGAAAAACGAAAAAATAGAAGACAAATTTGGAGTCGGGCCGCCGTCGGGTGCAAGCAACGAAATCGTATTATAAGAGTGAGAAAGAGAGGGAAACTTAGGAATATCCCTTTTCCTTTCCTACACATTGATTGCTTGAATGCCACGAGACACCAGGTGACAGCCAGAACTGCAGGGTTGGGTCTGCTCATTCTCGGACCCTTTGCCGACGAAACCCGATTCAAAAAGTCTTTTGCGCATGTATGTGTATGTGTGAAGGTTCGGGGGTTCTACCTGTCATTTGGCCTCGTAAATCTCGCTAGTGAAAATAGATTATTTGAATTTATTTGAAACTAGCTGCCCGTCCCAGCTTCGCCCGGGTTTTTTTTTAATAGTTTGTCCTTTTTTTTTTTATTTGTATTAACGTATTATTACTGTAGGTATGTGCTGTTCTGGTGGAAAAAAAACCCGGGCGAAGCTGGGACGTCATTTACCATGCGACCTAAGTTATTTGGATTTAAATTAGCGTCATTTGCCACAGCGTCTTGAAGGTGGATGTAACTCTCTGCTCTTAGTTTAGTTTGATTTAATGATATGTACCGTAACCTCTCGCTTTCAACTTTAACGTACATGTCAACGTAAAACTGATTGGTCTGTTGCTTGCATCTTTGTACAATGTTAAAGTTGTTTTCTCGTATCATCATGTTGTAGCCATAAAAATCCATGCATGAAACCTTTTTGTTATGCAAGGGAAGACCTGTTACAGGATTAATTTGGGGAATTTGAAAGTGGTACCCCTCTTGCCCCTTACTAAATATGATCAAATATTGCAACGCATCATAAAATTTATGAGTATCAGGCACCCTTGTTAATATGTCATCTCGGGCCTGTAAACTATATCACGGGAAGCAAACTCTTTGCCTGTAACCATGGCTGCGACTTCATTTATTAACGGTGCATTTTACCGCCTTTCATGTTCCCCACTTGGTGTGCGATCGGGGTGCATCACCAACTTATAATCCTCTCCCGGCATTCTTTCTAGTGCTGTTTTGAAAGTGTTGATAAGGCGATTATGTTCATGCAATATTTTCTGGATTTTTAAAACAGTATCCCTTTCGATTCCTTGTATATTTGACACCTGCGATCAGCTTCGTTTTCTTCATCGCCCATGAAATAAAGTTGCAAAAACTTTGGTTGTTCATTATTTGCGGGAAGTAAGAAACCAATTCTGTGATACACCTGTCCTTGGATGGTAAAAGTAGGTGAAAATCCAGGCATTACGACCTCCTTATCTACACCAAATGATGTCATCTGAAAGCAAGAATTATACTTTCTAATCCTGCTTAAAAACCGGCGGGATTCATTACTGTCGTATAAAAGTAAAGATTTGAGAGGTTCCTCTGGCTCGCCAAGTAATGGAATTTTAACCTTTCCACCAGAACAGCACATACCTGGAGTTTCTTCTTTCCATTTCAGTGCTTCACAATATCTGCATTTTTTATCCATTCTCCCAATGATAATCAATCGGTGATTAACATAGTCTATCAAAGGGGCATACTCAAAAGAGGCACCATTAAATGCCTCCCACGTTCTCATTGATAACGTACGTGTTCTTTCTCCCTGCCGCTCTACGTTTAAAAAACGTCGTCTTTGTGAATCTTCGCCAGACTCTGCCGCAAACAACTGGGCGTGACGTTTGGCATCTAAAACTCGACGTGTCTGAGTCTGTTCCACTGTCTCAGCAGCTCTTTGAGATGCGTGGCGGTCAGCATCCAGGGTCTGACTGGCCTGAGTCTGCGTATAGGTCTCAGAAGCTCTTTGAGTCGCATGACGCTGAGAATCTAACAACTGACGCGTCCGAGTCTGCTCTTCAGATTCTTGGCCTCTAGCAACTTTTGCAGCTCGAGCTCTGCTAAAATACTGCTTAGATTGGAATTACGTTTGCGTGGCATACCGAAAACAATAACGGGAGTTTTAAAAACTACAACGTAAAACAATTTGTTATAAACTACTTTGATAAAGCAAACCTTTTTACTTAAAACGTAATGCCTACTGCCTACCCCAGACAGACAGAAACATTTTCACATTTAAATATTAGTATGGAAGTATGGATTAGGATTTCTAGGTTATCATCTATCACCATACCAAATTTCTTCAAAATCCGTTCAGCGGTTGAGGCGTGAAAGAGTAACAGACAGACAGAAACATTTTTACATTTATATATTAGTATGGAAAGGACGTGAAAGTATATAATTCATTTTATTTTATGCGAATGACGGTGCTCAATAAATGCCTAATACTTAAATTCGTTATTAGTTGTTAAGCTAAAGTCAAAATAAATTAATTTAAAAGAAAACAATTAATTTTTTAATCAAAATAATAAAAATATTAGTTTGAAATATGATATATATATATGGGGGCAGCTGCCCCCGCCCTAGAGATTTCAAACTCCTTTTTATTTTATTTTCTAATAAATGTTATAACCCATTTACAAGTTTTTTAGGCTACATTTCATTTTGAAAAAAATTAGGGATCCTTGGTAAAATTTAAAAAATACAACCCTACAAAATAGAAGTAAAATATATAATATTTTTAGATGCAACAAATTTTTAAAACAAAAATAATAGTAACAGCAAAAAGAATTTAAAAAAAAAATTAGCTTATACATGTTATGATTTTTTGAAAATGTTCAGAAATACGCATTTAAGCCATAATTTTCTCTTTTCCATACAAATTTTTTCCGACATTGTCACCTTCGAAAAATCATAAATATTAAAGAAAATTTATTTTTGAAAAATTCTTTTTCCAGTTACTATTATTTTTGTTTTAAGAAACTTTTTGTATCCAAAAATTGTAGTTTTCAAGACGAGGGAAAAGGTGTAAAAAGTAGATTTTTTTAGAATTTCCCTTTTCAAAAATTATCGAATGAGTTAAGAAAAGTATGGTATCATTCAAACGGCATTTAAATTACCTTTCCATTGATACCAAAAGTTAAAAGAAGCAAGTTCATGTTTTGAGTATATTTCACTTTTATTTTGTCAAATTAATTATGCCGATTAGTGTATATGAATGGTCGAATCTCTCACAGTCTCGCAACATACAGTTATTAAGACCATTCTTAACGCACAACCATTCCGTCAAGACTACCTGATTTCGTATTGAGCACTGAATTTTTTTAGTGAAAATGGGTCATTTCTCTGAAACATGGAAATGGAAATCGGGCATTAACTAATACTTGGATGTAACGACACCTTAGCTCTCTAGCATCGGAAATCGATATTTAAAATATATATAATCTTTTCCTTTTCCTTTCTTTTGCTGCGGTGGATGGAACAGCACGTTAGGTTGCTAATTTTCTGTATTCCTTTTGAGTAAATCAATGTAAGTTATTTTTATTGTTTAGCGCAAATTTCATTTAATATAAATTGTTTTAAAATGTAGATGCCACGAGAAATTAAAGAGGTCAAAGACTTTCTTAACAAAGCACGTCGTTCAGATGCACGCGCTGTTAAAATTAAAAAGAACTTGACCAACACTAAATTTAAAATCCGCTGTTCACGGTTTCTTTATACCCTCGTCGTGCAGGATAAGGAAAAAGCTGACAAAATCAAGCAGTCTCTTCCCCCAGGATTACAAGTAAAAGAGGTGAAATGAACGACCACAATAAATTAAGTGTCGTTTTTACCAGCTTTACTGCTTAGATTGGAAGTTTGGCCCGCTGAAATTTGTGTTTTCTTATAAACTAAAATAAAGTGATGATGCCAAATTAAGAAACAAAGAGGCTAAAATTGTTTTTTTTTTAATTTATAGCCGGGACTGCAAGCAATGGATGTCTTCTACCAAAAAACGGTTTACTGAGAGTTAAAGTATGAACAAATTTTAATAGAAATCTAGTCGAGCTGATCAAAAACAACGGCGTAAGATTTTTTTTGTTTCATTCGTTCGTATGGGATATAGTCGGCCGATCTGGACCGTTCCGACATATATACTGCGTGCAATAACTACACAACTTTTGGTAAAGTTTCAGGATAGCCTTAATCAGACAGACTTACTGAGGGACAGACATATCGTGATGCTGATCAAGAACACATATACTTTTTGGGGTCTGAGTAGTTTCGATTCAGATCGTGATGCTGATCAAGAATATGAGGTGTCCCCTTCACTGCGTTGCAAACTTCTGACTGAACTTATAATAACCTTTTGCTCTGCAAGGGTATAAAAAACAAGAAAGGAAGCTGGCTTTGGCGATCCGAAGCTTATATACCCTTGGGGGAAATTTGCCCCAGGCGCCATACATATGACAATCTCCCAAAATTGAAGGCCCCCGCAGTTTTTTGCCCCGGGCCCCAGACTATTTTTGTGAGCCCCTGTTTTCGACTATGTCATATGACAGCTTTATGATATAGTCGTTTGATTTTTATGAAATTTAATTTGAAATTCAAGAGTCATAAGAAAACTCGACACATACATATTTCAAAAATGATGCTTGTCTGATGAAAAACAAAGTTATGTATATCCGTTAATTCTATGTAGATTTTTCGATTTAATCAAATGATTGTTGTTTTTCATCAGATAATAATTTAATAGTTTTTAGAATATAGTTTTCTAATAACTCCCGGATTTCGAATTATTTTCATTAAAATCGGACGACTATATCACTATATTATATAAACAAGCGTCGAAAATATAGAAACTTCCTAAAAAACAAATCGACATATCTTTGATGTTGTTTAGTCTTTGTGTATTTTGTTCGACAGATTTGGTGACTACAAGGGTATATAAGCTAGCTTCCTTTTTATACCCTTGCAGAGCGAAGGGTATTATAATTTAGGCCAGAAGTTTGCAACGCAGTGAAGGAGACACCTCAGACCCCAAATGTATATTCTTAATCAGCATCACAATCTGATTCGAAATACTTCTGTCCGCCTGTCCTCCTGTCCGTTGCTACGCAAACTAGTCTCTCAGTTTTAAAGCTATCTTTCTGAAACTTCACCAAAAGTTGTGTATTTATTGCACGCATTATATAAGTTGAAAGGGGCCGGATCGAGCGATTATATCGGATAGCTCCTATTCAAAAGAATGAAATAAAAAATTCTTACGCCGTTGTTTTTGATCAGCTCGACTTGATTTCTTCCAGATGCCGTTTTCTAACTACTATTAAATTTCGATTTAAATTTTATCAAAATCGGATAACTCTATCATATAGCTGCCATAAGAAAGATCGAAAACAATATACATCTATAAAAATAATGGAAAAAATTATAACGTAGTTGTTTTTAACGGAAATAAAATTATAAAATCGTGGTTTTTTCATGATTTTTGGAATATACACTGCGCGTCATCAGATTAGCGCCCCCTGAGCATTCTCGGGTAATGTCCAATATTATCCAAACTATCAAGGCTAAAGCCATAAAACTTTTTTTTACGATACTTTTAATAATATTCTTCAAAATAAGATAAGGTACATAATGATAAGTATAACAATAATATTTTTTTTATTTGAAAAGAAAATGTATTCCAAAAATATGAATTTAATTTTGCGTCATCAGATTAGCGCCCCCTGCTTAAATTTAATGAATTTTCACTTAATGCTTAACAACTAGTATTGTTTTATGTTTTATCTTATTATTTACTTATTTTCTAATCAAATTAATAGTGGGTGGTCCCGCCCCCGTTTTCCAGGACCTCACAGATCCTGCTGGGAAGTGACTCGTACAATTTCTCAATGTATTGTAATGAAATTGAAGACCAAGCTTTTTTAATCTCGTCGATGAGCTCCAATATGTACTATACTGCTTTCCAGACTCGTATACTTTTCTCGAGAGCCATCCCCACACGTTCTCTGTTATATTTAAGTCCGGAGAGAACGGCGACCACTCCAGGACATCAACGTTTTGGCCAAAATTAATGAAAAAACCGGTGTGGAAGCTAGCAAGTCCACGGTATTACGAGTCATAAAAAAAGCAGAACACTTGAAAAGACTAAAACTAAAAAAAAAACACAACTAAATAAGTTACGAAAGGAAATGCGCCTAAATTTTGCTCGCTCGCATATGATATGGTCTAAGGAGTGGCGCTTTGTAGTCTTTTCCGATGAAAATAAATTTAATTACTTTTTCCATGACAGGCGTAAAGAAGAGCATATTTTAGATCGTTTACATAGCCGGGTAGGTGGCGTAATGGTATAGGGAGCCGTATCCTATTATGGCACCTATGAGTTGCAATTTCTCACCCCGAAAATGAACGCCGTGGCGTATAATAATCTTTTAAAAACGGCTTTCCCACATTTCCAAAATTGTTTTGGAAATCTTAAAAGGCGTTTTCAACACGACAACGCTCCAATCCACACTGCCCGATCTGTAAAATCGTGGATACAGGGCCAAAACGTTGATGTCCTGGAGTGGTCGCCGTTCTCTCCGGACTTAAATATAACAGAGAACGTGTGGGGATGGCTCTCGAGAAAAGTATACGAGTCTGGAAAGCAGTATAGTACATATTGGAGCTCATCGACGAGATTAAAAAAGCTTGGTCTTCAATTTCATTACAATACATTGAGAAATTGTACGAGTCACTTCCCAGCAGGATCTGTGAGGTCCTGGAAAACGGGGGCGGGACCACCCACTATTAATTTGATTAGAAAATAAGTAAATAATAAGATAAAACATAAAACAATACTAGTTGTTAAGCATTAAGTGAAAATTCATTAAATTTAAGCAGGGGGCGCTAATCTGATGACGCAAAATTAAATTCATATTTTTGGAATACATTTTCTTTTCAAATAAAAAAAATATTATTGTTATACTTATCATTATGTACCTTATCTTATTTTGAAGAATATTATTAAAAGTATCGTAAAAAAAAAGTTTTATGGCTTTAGCCTTGATAGTTTGGATAATATTGGACATTACCCGAGAATGCTCAGGGGCGCTAATCTGATGACGCGCAGTGTAGTTTTCTAACGTATCTTGAATAACGATTTAAATTTCATCAAAATCGGACGACTATATCATATAGCTGCCATATGGAAAATTAATAGAAAAATCGTCAAAGCTTCGATGTTGTTTAGCCTTTATGCATTGTGAACCACATATTTGATGACTACGGCTTGCCGATGCTAGCTTCTTGTCTTGTTTAACCTTCTCTTAGCAAGTTACTCTTTTATTTTTACGCAAAACGGTACAATCCTTTTTCTCATAATGGAAATACAGGAAGTTTTTGTTATAGTTCATGGACGGTAAAGAGAGCGTGGGACAAATCAGTGGTGCCCCAGAAACTGAAAACTCCGTATATCTCCCGAAAACCAACTTTTAGAGATTTAACGTGTTCTAGAGCAGAAAACAGAAGCTTTTGAAACTGTTCGGTCATGCCGCAGCCTAACTCAAGTGATTAAATTTCAAATCTTAACGTAAATTGATCGCTTGCTGTTTGCCTTTGTTTTTCTATTTGCCCTGCGCGGCAACACTGTCATATATTGTAATTGCTAACTCCCTTTTGCACTTTTCTTATCGCTACCTGGCCGTTATCCACGGCAAGCAGCTTTTACATAGTTCGATTTTGGTACTCGCTAGCAAAAGCACGGTCGCTGATATAGAAATTCTTTTCGGCTTATATACTTTCGCAACTAAGACGGCACAGACAAATCGGTCTGCCTGCCCAACACACTTTCGCTGTAAAAAAGGCACAGACAAATCGGTCTGCCTGCCTAATCCATCCTCGCATAAACATTAACTTTGTACATTTAAGGCCTTGATACCATTAAAATAAATAAGTGCAATATTATTTTATTTGGTCACCGCCAAGGTAATGGTTAATGAAAAAGCTCATTGACCCAACATATTTGGTGACGTGATAGTGAAACAATAGAAATTCAAAAAATCCTAAAACTAAAGTGGGTAATACTTCGGAATTTTGACTCCAGCTATATCTCAGCCCCAAAAAAACTTGGGAACCAAATCAAGGGTTTTTTCGTAAGATAATAACCCCCTTAGGAGGGGCAGAAGGTTTTTTACCTTGGAAAATGGAAATTTCCTCGGAAAATCAGCGGAAAACTCTTACATGCACGTCATGCATTTCCGCGCTAGGGGGAGATTTGAGGACACATTTTGGGTAAATAAACACTTTTTAATAAATACAAATTTTCGATTTCTCGCACCGTTTACGAGATAACGAGCCTTAAAATTCCGATAATAGTGAGGGCTGGTAGCGGGCGATGCAATCGTCATGTAAATGTCGTTAAGATTACAAAAATATTATGTTTTCTACTACAAACTTATTTAAATCTTTTTAGGATACAGCCTGTATGTACGATAAATTCGTTTGAAAGGTAAGTTTGCTTTAAATTAAAAAAAGTAATACATATATAATATGTAATAAAAAATGGGTGTGTTCAGCCTACGCACAACAAAAGTGAAACTTCTTCATCACTACTCATTTTTAAAATTGAAATTCTGTAGGAAACCGAATAAAAGCCTTTTTAGACGCTTAATTTTAGAGGTCTCGAAATGTGCTGGCGACTCTCAAAAGTTAACAAACTGATTGAGAAGAAGAAGAAGACAAATACATATCAATATGTGTTTTCATTTCTAGGTCAAATAAAATGGATAGAAATTATGGTGCCATTTAATATCTGAATGCAACTTGTTCGATTTGAATTCCTTTTGACATTCACACCTCTCACCCCGTTTTCAACTTATGCTCTCAACTTTGTGCGAGCGCGCTGAGAGCGAGGATAGAGGAGGATAGAGACATCGTTCGTCAGCGGTTAGAAAGGGATGGGGAT